TTCAAAGACTGCAGAGAAGTGAAGCAAGAAAAGTTCCAAACAGTGTCAATTTAACAATCAAGACTTCACTCTGGAGGAAAGATATTCAGAGATATGACGAGAGAGGCCAGTGGGAGACTGGGTGTGGAGACATGGGGGCAGAGGGGGCGGGTACTCTTCAGCTGTGTGAGGGTAGAAGAGAGAAGTGTGGTATCTTAAGCTACCCAGATTGCTCTAATACAGACTTATGGGTGGCTTATGTGCTGTGCTGTGCTTAGTTGCTCGGTCATGTCCAACTCTTTGCAACCCCATGGACTGCAGTTTGCCAGGCTCCTCTGTCCATGGGATTCTCCAGGCAAGAATACTCGAGTGGGTTGCCATGCCCTCCTCCAGGGACTCTTCCCAACTCAGGAATTGAACTCATGTCTCCCACATTGCAGGCGGATTCTTTACCATCTGAGCCACCAGGGAAACCCAAGAATACTGGAGTGGGTAGCCTGTCCCTCCTCCAGTGGATCTTCCCGACCCAGGAATCGAACCAGGATCTCCTGCACTGCAGATAGATTCTTTACTAGCTGAGCTACCAGGGAAGCCCATGGGTGGCTTAGAGACAACAGAAATTTCTCTCTCAGTGTTCTAAGTTGAAAGCCCAAGATCAGGGTGCCAGCATGCCCCAATTCTGATGAGAGTCCTCTTCTGCGTTGTGGACTGCTGACTTCTCATTGTGTCCTCACGTGGAAGAGAAGCAGAAAGAGGAAGCAACTGCTATAGCTCTTACAAGGGTACTAATCCCATTCAGGAGGGCTCCACCCTCATGACCTCATCTAATTCTAATTACCTCCCAAAGACACACTTTCTGATACCATCACATCGGGGGCAGTGAATCTGGCAGGGACAACATTTAGTTCACGACAGATGGTCAAGGGGCGGCAAGGTTGAGATATTTTGTGGGTGATGTTAGATTAGAGTGACTTGAATGCCTTAGCAGACACCGCTCATATTCTCAGGGATTCTCTTAAAGAATCCTATTAAAGGGGAGGTTTTCTCCTGAGTTTGAGGGAGAATGGATATGTGTATACATATGACTTAGTCCCTTCACTGTATACCCGAACCTGCCACAACATCGTTAATCGGCTATACCCCGATACAAAGTTTAAAATTTGGAAAGGAAAAAAAAAAAGGTGAGAGTTTCTCAACCTCAACTCACACTTCGGGCCAGAAAATTCTTTGTGAGGCTTGGGGTGGCGGGCTGGAGAGGAGGGTCTCTGTCCTGTGTATTGAGATGTGTAGCAGTATCCCTGCTTCCACCCACGGGATTCTATTAGCACCCCACCGCCCTTGAACGCAGCAATGGAATGTACTGCTTGGGAAACCTAAGGAAAGAGTGAGGCTCTGCGTTGTACAGAAAGAAGAGAAAATGTGAAGGAGAGGAAGCTTGTGTCAGGGAGGAAGCTGGGTCAGAGGGTAGACACGGCCTCAAATTCCCCGGCAAAACAAAAGGCCAGATCAGCCACTAACGGGGAGGAAAAGGAGTGTTGCCCTTTCCACTCTGCTTCCAGATAAGTGACTGTTTTTCACAAGACGAGACGCAGTAGGGCATGGTGAACTAAAGGGTTCCAAGTGTAAATACTTTGAGGGAATTCGCATACTGTTTGGTTCTTCATAATGTTTATCAGTGAATTAAAAGTTCTGATACACTGTTAAACATGAGACCAGTCTTAACTCTTTTTGGAAGTCTCAGCTTTATTGAGGCATTAATAGACATAAAAAATTATAAGGTATTTGAAGTGTACATCATGGTGATTGATATAACTTTTTGTTTTTCTCTGGCATTTCCCAAATGTATTGGGGAACCCTTTCCTTTCTTAACTTCCTTCAAAACAAAACCCCAAAATCCCCACAAAACCCCCATTCATATCTCAAAGGACACGTGTAATCTTTGGGACAGATTCCAGGAAGCACTGTGTGAAGGACCCAAGAGGAGGCTATGTGTGAGCCAGCCGAAAGGGGAGGGTGTCAGCTAAGGACAGATGAGTTTGTTAGTGTGCAGAATTAACATAATTTCCTGTTTTTGTTTTGTCTTATCCAGCAACATTAACTGACCTAGAGCAAAGAGCCCCTAGAAACGCAGCCAGCTGCCAAGAGGGTGGAAGGTGACAGGGACAAGGGAGTTGGGTGTTAGTGACACGGTGTTGAAACTGTTGGCCTGGGGAGTGGCTGAGACCTGACCCAGGCTCTCTTTTCACTCACCATCTTCTCCAGAGGACGGTGCCAAGACCTCTGGGGACACGGGGAAGGGGTGGACGATCTCTTGTATCTGTGTGAGGCATCACAAAGGAAGGGACCACGACGCTGAGTCTTCAGGAGTAAATAGGAGTTTGCTAGGTAGGTAAGAAGGAAAAGGACATTCCAGGCCAATGGCATGAAGGTACAATGGTGTGGAGGGGTGACAGAAGGTGACAGCTTCCAGAGCTGTTGAGAAATTTAGTGCAGGAGCCAAGGAAACAGGAGAGAACAGAGAGAGCGGGACCGGGGTCATGGGTGCAAACTTCAGAGGGCGTTACGGAGGGTGGGGAAAAAGAACACGGATGAAGGTCTTGTGCCTTTGTTTTTGATGTTTCTGAAGAGTTTATCGCTATTTTCTAGATAATCTTCTTTCTCCGTTTGCATTCCCTCTTTAACTCAAATTGTTTAAGATAAATTTTAGAAGTATATTTCTGATGGTTGTGACTTTTTATCTTCTGGTGGTTATTAAATTCTCATTTTATTGTAATATTATAATCAGAAGATTGTTTGTATTCAGCTTTTTGAAATCCATTAAAGTTTTCATTATTTCCTAAAATTTGGTTAACTTTTTGGCTCTTGTATCTTCAGAGGGGGACAAAAATCCGCATACATTAGTTGTACCTTATTATTTATGTTATTTAGTTCTTTTACATGCTGTATGTGTGTTTATGTGTGTTTATCCAAACCTTATTCTCTTATGAACCAAGAGTCTTGAATTGAATTCTTCTATCTCTAATGACTTTCTTTTTTATGTATCTTTTTTAAAGTTTTTTTTTTAATGTGGACCATTTTTAGTCTTTATTAAATTTGTTACAATATTGATTCTGTTTTGTGTTTTGGTTTTTTTGGTTTTTGGGTTTTTTGCATTTTTTGCATTTTGGTTTTTTGTCCAGGAGGCATGTGAAATTTTAGCTCCCCCACCAGGGATCGAACCTGCACCCCAGCACCGAAAGGTGAAGTCCTCACCATTGAACCTCCAGGGAAGTCCCTCCAGTGACTTTCTACTATTTCTCTTTGAGGGTCCTGTAAAGAAGTTCTTAATCTTGAGAATATTGTGATCACATTTGTAATTTAGAAGAGAAAACGTGGGCAGCCATGCGGAGGAGGGTTTTGGGTGGAGATTGGAGGTGGCAGGCTAGAAGACCAGGCAGAGGTCATGGAGAAAGAAGGAGGGGACACACTAGCCCAGAGAATCACATGGGCGTGTGGGCATACAGGAGGCAGAGGAGCTAGGAGGACCCAGGATGATGTTGCTAGTATTCAGGTTTGAAGGTGGGATACAGTGAGTAGGTACAATACAATACACTGTATTGTAACAAGCTATTGATTATCTGTGGCTTTTTGTTTTGTTTTTCTTTTGGCTGCACTCACACGACTTGTGGGATGTTAGTTTCTTGACCAGGGATCGAACCTGTGTCCCCTGAAGGGGAAGCGCTGAGTCCTAACCTTTGGATCACCGGGGACATCCCAACTTGCTGTTTATTTGACTTATCTCTATCTCCCCAGTCAGGGCGGGCCCGTGTCTGCTTGCTGTCTGTTGTCTCCTCTGAGCCTGGCACAAGTGGTTCCTGGCACACAATACAGGTTGCAAGACAGAGTTTAATAAGTGAATGAAACCCTGTCCCTGAGGTGGCTGTGGGACCACCAGGGGAGGTGTCCAGTGGGTGCCTGGGAACGCAGGTTGGAGAAGGGTCAGGACAGTGAGTCCCTGATGAGACAGCATGCTTGCTGAAGTGGGGGTGGCCGGAGGGGGACAGGGACAAGCAAAAGGGGTCAGGGTAGAATTTGGTGGGGTCCCAGGGGGCTGCCCTTTCTGCAAGGGACTCAGTCTGCCTTCGGCCATGGTGCCCATGCACTGGGAATCAAGAGTTCTGGGAATCTCTCATTTTGTTAGAGGATTATCTCTGTCCATTCAAAGATTTGATCCCACCTCTATCCATTGTCTATTCTGTCCATATCACTTCATTGACTATTTCCCCTCTTCTCCATCAACTCTCCTCCAGGTTATTTTTTTCTCTCCCTGTATTCTCCTGTCTCCTCTTGGATTTTCCCTCCAGTTCAGAAAACAGAGGGTCTGAGCTGTCCCCTGCTCCCTCACTGATCACCAGTAGGCATTCGAGGCAGCCCTCACCCCTCAGGGTGTGTGATCCATCATCTGCATGGTATAATGAGACCTACCTTCCCCTGTTATGCTGCCTTTATACAGGCCTCTATTTCTCGAGAAATAAACTACTGTTTAATAGCAGTAAAGACTTTCACCACCTTAATCCACAATTCTGTGGCGATTCACATGACACTGCTTCTAAATGCTGTCAACTCAGAATTATTTGGGTGGGCTCTTACAGGGACAGAGTGGATGTGGTCTCAGAAGGCCACTTCTAGCCTGGGGAGCAGGCGCAAACTGACTCTGTTCTGAGGGCTCCACCTGAAATGCATAGAGCTTAACAAATGTTTGCTAAAGAAATGAAAGATGGTCATTCTCTATCTCATTAATATTCATTAAGTTATAAAGTGTTTTAAGAGGTGAAGAGAGTTCTTACCCAGACAGTCTTTCCATGGGTTGGGAGTGAAGGGAACATCCTTGATAGGAGGCTCAGTGCCCGGAGGGTCACGTGGCCTGAGGTCCGGAGCTGGGAGGGGAGCCCAGACTCCTGGAACAAGCCTGTAGGTTTCTTGGAAGGACCCTCAGGAGGACCCTCTCTAGGAGGAGACTTCTAGTAACCACAGTGATGGGATTAAGGAACCTCTCCCCTTGAGGTATCTGGATGCAGCTGGGTGTGAATTAACTGGTGAAAAGTAACCTGCAAATCTGGGAGTAGTAGTATGTTATGAAAATCTTTTAAAATGAAGAAGGGCCTGCCTTCATGGGTGTTAGGGCATTTATGGGTCAGCTGGAGGTGGAAAGAACAGAGTTGGTGTGAGGACACCCAAGCAATGGGAAAGTACTCCAGGGGGCAGAACTTCCTCCCTGTGGTCCAGACTCCTCTGTGGGTATCAGCTTGCTGTGAGCCTCCTGACCCGTGTGAAGAAATCACGCATGTGTAGGTATGTGCATTTGGGGGGTGAGGTGGGTAAAGAGTCAACAGCCAAGGGAAGACCCAGGCATCACTGACCATGGTCTGCTATGGTCAAACAAGTCTGCAAGGTGATGCTGGCCCCCTCATCAGTTCTGTGCCCAGAAACCCACCTCCTTGGGCCTTTACCCACTATTTCTTAAATCTCCCCCTTTATTTCTTCAAGGCTCTTTCCCCTTTATCTGGACCCTCGTACTTTCTGGCTCCCCAGAAACCTCGACCCATAAGCAATCTCCTTGATTCCCTGGCGGTCTGTCTATTGGCATTGCCCCTATAGGGTCTGCCACACTCCAACCTCTCCCCTGTGGAGAACGGCTGGGAGAGTGTATCCTCTTCTGTTCCATGTAGCTGCCCCTCTGTCTCTTTCTTTCCTTCCCAGCCAAGCTTCTGGAAAGACTTGTCCAATTTGTTATCTTTACTTATTTCTTATCTAGATTCAGCGTGATCCAGTCCATTTTCCATCTTTTTTCTCAGAAGCCTTTCTCCAACCAAGGTCATCAGTTGCCAAATCCAATCCCAACGGAACCCACTTTCCAAACTTAACCTTCTTCGTCCTCTTGGCAGTATTTCACATCTACGTTTTCTCCTCCTTAATGTTTTCTCCTCCTTGACCTTCTGAGGGTGAATATATATAATCCATCTTCCAAACTGGGCCACTGTTTAACATGAAAGGGGGCAATCATTAATTATTATGCCAGGTTGTCCTAACCAAGGCTCCCTCAGGCAAACTCAGACTTATGGTCCTCCCTTCCTCCAAAACCTCCTTCTCCTGTCTCTGGCTCGTCATTTTCAGGCTCCTTTGTGGGATCCTTCTTCTCCATCCTCTCCTTAAACATGCCCCCAGCATTCCCCCATTCTCCCTCTGCACCATCTCCCTGTATGATGTTATCCACTCGTGGCTCAGTCCCTGTCTGTCTACAATGTCTTGATTCCTATACTCCACATACAAACCCAACTGCTGAATAGAAGTCTCTACCTGGTTGTCCTAGAGGCAGCTCTACATCTGTATTTAAAACCAAATTCATCATCTTTAACTGAAAATATGTTATCTTCCTGTGGATGAATGGCAGAAGGAGGAATATAAAGGAAGTGGTGATTAAGGACATAGCTTCTGCAACCTAAGTGTCCATTGACAGATAAACGGATAAAGATCGGCATAGATGCACAGTGGAATATTACTCAGCCATAATGAAGAATGAAATAGTCATTTGCAGTAACACAGATGGACCTAGAGAGTATCACATTAAGAGAAGTAGGTCAAAGAAAGGCAAATTCCATATGCTATAACTTATTTGTGGAATCTAAAAAGGATACGAATTTATAAAACAGAAAAGACTCACAGACATAGAAAACAATCCTATGGTTATGAAAGGGGAAGGGGAAGGAAGGGACAAATTAGTTTGGGGTTAGCAGATACATACTATTATATATAAACTAGATACAAACAACAAGGACCTACTGTATAGCATAGGGAACTATATTCAATAACTTAAAACAACCTATAATGAAAAAGAATCTGAAAAAGAATACATATATTCTCTAGAGCCAAGTCTGGCTCCAGAGACATTTTCTCAAGCACCTCAGTATTTTCTGTGTGCCAAGAGGCTAGAAAAGTGTCCGGCAAATAATAAGTGCTCAGCAAATTATTTCCACCCTCCATCTAGCCCAGAAATCTCTCTACGCAAAGTGAAAGTGTTAGTCACTCAGTCATGTCCAACTCTTTGCGACCCCATGGACTGTAGCCCACCAGGCTCCTCTGTCCATTGGATTTTCCAGGCAAGAATACTGGAGTGGGTTGCCATTCCCTTCTCCAGGGGATCTTCCCGACCCAGGGAGCAAACCCTGGTCTCCTGCATGGCAGGTGGACTCTACCGCCTGTGCCACCACGGGAGCACAAAGATTGTCTACCCAGGAGCAGACCTATTTTCCTCATCTTTCCTTACTCTACATCTGTCAAGTCCTGTCAACTATACCTTAAAATGCTATGTGCCTTTCCGGAGTTTACTTTTTTCAAAGTACTGTTAAGTTTGAAGTAGAACTGATTTACAATGCTGTGTTATCTGCTACATAGCAAAGTGATGCAGTTATACACATACATTCTCTTTCTTGTGTAATTACTTTTCTATATTCCTAGTGCATTGTCCAAAATGTTTTGATATTGAGAAGCCAACTCCCAGAGGACCAGGTAAGAATGTAGAGTACACAGATCTGGATGTCTGCAGAGTCTGAGGCTTTTCCTTCCAAACCTCCACTCTGCTTGCTTTCTTAGAACCTTGCTGCATCGCCATGGAAACAAGCCCAGGCCTGCCTTCTGGAGGATGAGAGACTCTGTGGAGCAGAGATCAGCCATCCCGCGAAACCCAGGCTGCAACCAGTGCCCAGCCAAACCTGCAGCTGACCTCAGATCCAAGCCCAGAGCAAACTGCTGACCTGCAGAAAGATAAGCTAAATGAGCGGTTGTTTTCAACCACTAAATTTTGGAATAGTCTGTTATGCAGGAAAAGCTTACTGGTATACTTAGGAACAGGGCTTCCCAGATAGTTAAGAACCCACCTGCCAATGTAGGAGACATAAGAGACTTGGGTTTGATCCCTGGGTCAGGAAGATCCCCTGGAGGAGGGCATGGCAACCCACTCCAGTATTCTTGCTTGGAGAAGCCCATGGACAGAGGAGCCTGGTGGGCTACAGTCCATGGGGTCACAGAGAGTCAGATGAGGTGCCTCAGCATGCCTACATGCTTAGGAATATGCGACAGACAGGGTGGCTTGAATAACAAATTATTTTCTCACACGTCTAGAGGCTAGAGGTCTAGGATCAAGGCACCAGCAGAGTTAACTTCTGGTGAGACCTCTCTTCCTAGCTTACAGATGGCACCTTCTTGCCGTGTCCTCATGTGAGCTTTTCTCTGTGTGAGCCCAGAAAGACAGATCTCTGGTGTCTCTTCCTCTTCGTATAAGGACATTGATCCTATCAGCTTGTCATCATTGTTCAGTTACTAAGTAGAGTCTGACTCTTTGTGACCCCACAGACTGCAGCACGCCAGACTTCCCTGTCCTCCATTATCTCCAGGAGTTTGCTGAAGTTCATGTCCATTCAGTTGGTGATGCTATCTAACCTATCAGATTAGGGGCCTGAATTTATAACCTGATTTAATCTTTATTACTTCCTTATAGTCTCTGTCTCCATATACAGTAGCACTGGGGACTAGGGCTTCAATGTACGAATTTGTGGGGGGCACACAATTCAGTCCATAGCAGGTAGCAACCATCAAGTGGAAGTAAAAAGCCCTAAGAGCTGCTAAGTGAAAGTGAAAGTGTCAGTCACTTAGGCGTGTCCGACTCTGCAACCCCAAGGACTATAGCCCACCAGGTCCTCTGTCCATGGAATTCTCCAGGCAAGAGTACTGGAGTGGGTTGCCGTGCCCTTTTCCAGGGGAGCTTCCCAATCCAGGGATCGAACCACGTTGCAGGCAGATTCTCTACCATTTGAGCTATCTGGGAAGCTAAGAGCTGCTAAGATCACCTGAAAGGAGTGGGAGGGTGAGGAGACCCACTGACCAAGGACAGACTCAGGGTCCCCAGTCTGGGGACCAGCAGACCAGTCCCCTGGGGCCAGCAGTGGATGAGGAGTCCTGTGAAAACAGAGAGGGAAAGGTCGAGGAAGTCCAGGGAGGACCAAGGGGTTGATAAGAAGGCATGAATGCCAAGCCATCTATCATTTCCCAGAGGAGGAAATGACTAATAAAGTCAATGCAGCAGGCAGAGGTCAGGGACTAAGATGTGCCCACTGGTCTTGGCCAGGTCCTTGGTGACCCCAACAAACGTCAGAAGTATGGTAGAGCCAGAAGCCATGTCCCCAGTGGACTGAGGAACAGAAATGAGATAAGGAAAGGAACAAGCAGATAAAGGATGCTGCTGAGAAGTCTGGATGAGAAAGCACAAGAGAAATCAAGAACGCAGAATCAAGAAGAGATTTTTTCACAACAGGAGAGACGCATGTGTCTGTATAGGCTGAGAGGAGTGAGCTAGAAGCCGGGAGAAGTTCATAATGAGGGAACAAGGTTTAGAGGAGGCCGAGAGGTAGGTGTCAATAGCTAGTCTTTCTTAGCATTAGCCTGTGCCAAGCTCTCTGTGCAGCCTGTCTCATGTAACCCTTCCATCAGCTCTGTGAGGTGAAGGCAAGTACCATTCCATCTCACTGATGAGGAAACTGAGGCACTGAGGAGCTTAAGAAATCTGCCCAAGATCACACAGCCAGGAAGGGATATAAATGGGATTGGAACCCTGACAGCCCGACTCCACAGGCTGGGGGATCTGACCTGGATTTTGGCCTGCTTCTAAAATTAATAGGAAAGCAGTGGGGGTGCGGGGGTGGGGGTGTGCGTGGAAGCGGGCTCGGTAGGGAGTAAGAATTTGATGGAGATCATGTGATCCCAGTGGCCTCATTTTTTTTTTCCAGTGGTAGGAGATAAGAAGCTAAGCGTTAGGCCCAGGGTCAGAAGGGAGCGTGCAGAGAGTGATGGAGGCCCAGAATAGTAAGTGGTTTGGACCCAAAGCTGCTACATGTGCTGGCAGGTGGTACCCAGTTGGGAGTCTGAGCCTGCAGCAATGCCAGCACTGTGGTGGTGCCCTTCCCAGCAGTGCTCAGGAGCCAAGAGAGGGAGGAGGTCTGGCACCGGCTCCAGGCTGGGAGGCTTGCCAAGGGGGTGCCACCAAAGGGTGGGGAGAAGGGCGCTGGGTCCTGGCGAGCATCTGTCGTTCTTGACTTGGCTGTGTCTGAAGAGAGGCCTGCACCCGTCCTATGGCGGTCACCTCTGAATCTCAGAGTGGGGGGCCTGGCCTGCTGTGTGTTTGTGGTCCCCAGAGAGGATCTGATTCAAATCGAGCCTGGAGTTCAAGAGGAGGCCAGGAGGGTAGGAAGAGGGGCTGAGAGACAGGATGTAAAAAGTAGAGGGAGGGGGTGAGGGGTGACGGGGCAGGGTGCCAAGGAAGGTGATGTGAGCGCTGGGGTAGGAGGACCCCTCAGTGTCTGTGCGATCGTGTTTGGGCAGGCTTGGGGGGCTTGAAAGGACTTGGGCTTCCCTGGTAGCTCAGCTGGCAAAGAATCTGCCTGCAATGCAGGCGAGAAATCTGAGATGCCGGTTTGATTCCTGGGTTGGGAAGATCCCCTGCAGGAGGGCATGGCAACCCACTCCAGTATTCTTGCCTGGAGAATCCCATGGACAGAGGAGCATGGTGGGCTACAGTCCATGGGGTCGCAAAGAGTTGGACACGACTAAGCACAGCACATTTTACACCCTCATCCACAGCCATATTCCTATGCCAAAACTGAAAGGAAGTGTCTCAGAACCTTCCCTTTGTCCTTAAGAGTAGGGACCTCTGAGGGAGAAGCTAAAATAGGGGCGGCCACAGGAGTTGCCTGAATAGACTTTTCTTTCCATGCAACCCCAGCACAGCCCAGAAAACCCACACAGGGGCGCCAGCAGGAGTGGATTTTCCGTAGGACCCGAAGTATCTCCTATGGCTGAAGGGCTCTCCAAGGAGAGAAATCCTGGGGAATGGACTGGGACGACCAGCAATGGGGGACATGTTAATTCTACCCAACCCATGTTTACACAGCTCCTAACATATACCAGGCACTATCTGAACAAGACAGGTGGTGTGATCTCATGTAGCAGCTCCCAGAGCACCTTCTCCAGGATGGTAACCATCTCCCGTTTCTTAAAAAGGGGGTGGGGTTCCCAGGTGCAAATAAGTTTGGGAAACACTGGGCTAAAGAGAGTTAAACAGATTTACCTCCCCCCCCGGCAGGACTTGTCAGGGCCTTTAATCTGTCACTATGCTCCAAGACATTCCATGAAGTGGAACTGAATTTAGGGTACTTCCACACATACCCTGCTCCCCGGCGGGGCCTGCTTGAGCACAGGTTTCTCTCATTCCTGGCAGACCGAGGACAGGAACACCTGACCCACCAACACGCTTCGGGAAGTGTAACGTGGTGGCAGAGTTCAGCTGTGAAGCCAGTCACAAGACCTGGCTCCCAACACAGGCTCCGAGTTGGGCCTAAGGCAGGCTGCTTCAGGCCCTGTGTGCTGTGTCCACTTTCCCACCTGTCAACTACAGCTCAAGCATAATGTGCAGTTGCTAGGCTTTTAATGCCTGTGAAGCTGGGAGTGCTGCGCCTGGCACCCAGAAACCACTGACTCAAAGGACACCAGCCTGGCTCGAGAGACCCTTGTTTCTGCTCTAAAATGCTATGACTTGATGGCCTAAAATCCTCCGATGGGGGGCCAGGGTCAGAGCTCCTGTCTTCTCCCTGAGCTACGGGGACACCAGTCTCAAATGGCTGTCAAAGCCTGTGACAAGACCAGGGAAAGAGCAGTCCTGGGGGTGAGGGTGGGTAGAGGGGAGGAGGAGGGGAGAAGGGTGGGAATGGGGGAGGGGAGACCAGGAATGGGGAAGGGGGAGGGGGGAGGAAGGGAGGGGGGAGGGGGGGAGAGGGAGGGGAGGGTGAGGGGAGGGTGAGGGGAGGGAAACGAGGGGAGGGGAAGGGGGGAGGGGAGGAGGGGAGGGGAGGGGCGGGGAGGGGGGAGGGGAGGGGCGGGGAGGGGGGAGGGGAGGGGCGGGGAGGGGGGAGGGGAGGGGAGACCAGGAATGGAGGAGGGGGAGGGGGAAGGAGGTACTTCCGTTTCCATTCCCATCAGCGAGCGGAGGTTCTAGGAATCTGCGGTCGGTGGGCTGGACTGACTTCTTGGACAGGGTGGCGACAGGCCGGGAACGGCAGGCCAGCCACCCCCGCCCGCAGGGCCCCAGGATTGCGGTGGCCCGACTGGGCACACCGGAAACCTCCCCAGGCCGGGCAGGCGCTGAGCAGCTGCGGGACTTGGCCCGGGCCCAGCCCTGTCCTTCCTGGAGGTGGCCGCTGGCGGGGAGACTTACCAGAAACGCTCCGCGGCCGCCGCTCGGGCTGACGTCAGCGCCTCCAGAGGGCGTCGGGCCTGGGGGAGTTCTAGCCCCCGGGGTGTCTGGGGAAAGGATGCCTCCTCTTCCAAGTGCAGCGTACCGCTTCTCTAGGGCCTGAGAGAAATGGGAACAGATGGTGGTGCCTTAGGAGGGAGGGAGTTTGAACTGGGAGACATCGGGTAAGGAACAGGTCTCCACCTTGGGACTGGGGGGCTCTGCTCCCCAAGTTCCAGACCCCACCTCTCCCCTCTGGCCCCTAGAAACCAGCCCCCTGGTGTTCCCCACGCAGGAGAGACCCTTCTGTAGACTTGACTGTCTGCCTTCACATTTATTTAGTAGGCTTTCTTTTATTCTCTGAACCCAGGGATGGGGGAGTGGCTGGGAGTGGAGATGATGGCCCCCCAGAGACACCTGTGAAGTACTGTGATCCCCATTTTACAAGACCTAGAGGTCAAGCATCCTGCCCAAGGTCAACCGCTGCCCTGGAATTTGAACCCACGTCATTCATTGTCAATGCTCTCTCTAGGCGGGAGGAAAAGTTTAGGAACCCCAGTTTAAGCTTCTGGTTTATTGGGGCAGGGGGGAGAGAAACATGCGTATAAATCAACAGAACATCTCTGATGGAAGGAATGCTTTCTGTCCTTGTTAAGGGAAAAACATTGTAGAGCCCTGGTGTGCAAAGCTTTGTTGGCTGCCTTGAGGACCTAACGGTTTTTCCAGGAGCATGCCCCATTACCACCAGACAATTCAGACAGCCCCCGCCCTCCCCCCGCTTCTGGGCTGCACCCCCCCCCTTGCTCTCTCTTAGTCTCTTTTTCTAGCCAGGGTGGAGCCTCCAGAGC